AGGGACATGTGTGAGTGGCCCCAGGTAAACCTGAGGCCAGGTGACCACCAAGCCTGCAGCTCCCAGGGAGTCAGGGAAGCAGCCCCCTGCACCAGGCAGGGTCCTCAGCTAGAAGGCGGTGCCTGAGGCTGGCACAGGTCCCCACAACCTATGCAGGAGAAGGCACAGGAAAAGGTGTCCAGTCAGGGCCTTGGCCACCTTCTCCAGAGCTCCAGACAGTTCCCTGAGGCTGCAGGCTCCGCGTAGTCCTGGTCCTTGGGAAGCTGAAGCAGGAGAATCACTTGGGCCTGGGAGTTCGATGCCAGCCTGGGCAGTACAGTGAGATCTTTTGCAATAAAGATATTTCATCACTTTGTGGGTATAAGACAGAGCGAGCCCAGGCTCCCTTGTTCTGTTACACTCATATTTCTTTCCCCCTTTTGATTTTAGAGTACATGTCAACCTGAACATATTCACCCCCACGCCTCCAGTGCTGGGGCCACCCCTCAGCCCGTGGGCCCCTGCTCCAGAGGCTGGCCGGGTGCAGACCTGTGGTCTGCTTGGTCTCACTGGCCGGGGACTGGGTGCACGGTCTTGTGAGTAACTGGTAACCAGGCTGTGACCTCAGCAAAACCCAGTGCTGCATGAAGGTTGACGGCAGATCCATGCTGAGCCCGTGGGAGGGTTCGTGAGCTGGCGGGCAGCAGTGGGCAGCACTGTGTTGTGGGCAGTGAGTGTGAGGATGTGAGGGAACTTCGAGGGCGTGGGGAGCATGCGTGTGCTGTGCCCCAGCACAACGTGTGAGGTAGCACGTGTGAGAGAACACACGTGACATGAGACCCACGTGGTCACAAACAGGAGCATGTCCCAGGAGCTCCTGGGCCCAGATGGCAGCAGCCATGAGCGTGGAAGAACCCAAGCGGGGCACAGGGTAGGGGCAGCATCCCTTGTGAGATTAGATCCCGCTGGGGAGCTTGGGGCAGGGGCAGGCAGGACTGCAGCTAACACAGCTGACCCTGTCTGGGAGTTGCGGTCAGCTGATGGCTGGGCTCAAGCAGAGGTCACTCAGGCACCAGAGGACAGGGAATGGGGGTCGCTTTCCTGCTGCTGGGATGTAAAACCCTACACCACACTGTAAAGGAGGAGAGGTATACTTTGGCTTATGGTTTCAGGAGATTCAGTTCATGGTCAGCCCATTCCAACATCATGGCAAAAGGGTATGGGTGGGACAAAGCTGCTTTGTCCATGGCATCAGAGAACCAGAGCAGGGCATGCATTAGAGAGGAAGCCACACCAACATGACACAGCAGCCACACCCAGAAGTGGACTTACTAATCCTGGGGGTGGCTGCCAGGCCAGTCACGTAGACAGCTAAGGTTGACCATCACAGCATGCTTTGGGCATGTGGCAGAGGTGGAGTTTCCTGGGTATCCCCATACCTGTGCTCCTGGGTCCCCCACCTGTGTCTCTGGATCCCCACACTCCTGTGCCCTCACCATACCCCACTGGCTGTCAGAAATGCAAGGCAAGTGTGCTGCTGCCTTCAGAGAGTGACCTCAGAGTTTGGCTTGGGCCCGTGCACAAGCACACATGGCAGGGTGTGTGTATGCCCCATGTATGTGCATGAAGGAAGGGCCCCCAAGACTGGTTCCATCTGAACCCAGATGCCAGTATACCGACACCTGGGCAGTGTGGAGTACAGAAAGGTCTCACCCAGCTAGGGCAGGGGAGCTGGGCAGTAGGGGGACCTTGGGCAGTAGGGGGACCTTAGGTTGGGGGCCTGTGTGTCCCTTTCTGTGTGTGTCCTGCACACCCTGTGTGGGACCACCTGTGATGGGTCCCAGGTCCCTCTGACCAAGCTTGGCTTGGTGACCTGCAGGTGTGATCTGAGCAGTGAGGGCTGGGGCTGCCTGTCGACAAGATCAGGGGTGCGGCATGGAGTTCTCTGGGCTTTTCAGGCCCCTGATCTGCAGCCAAGAAGGGGGTCATGCTGAGCCCTGAGGTGGGCAGGAGCAAGGACCAGGAACAGACTTGTCTGGGAAGGTGTGCAGGTGGTAGGGCCGGCCCCACGAGGCCTCGGGCTGCAGCGTGAATGCCCAGGTACCCTGGGAACAGTACCTGTGATCACCTGTGCAGCCACATGGCAGGCTGGGACATGGGGCCTGGGACCAGGTGACAAGGGACCCATTCTGGCACACAGAGGCGAGGGCCAGGCTGCTGCTCCTGTCCCCAGAGCTCCTCAGAGAAACTGAGGCCCAAAGCTTGCCAGTACTCTGTGGGGACCACGGGCCCTGTGGTGTCACTTGTGAGGGGCTCATTCTGTTCCGTTGCTGCGATTGGCTGCTCTGATTGTGTGCAGGATTTCTACACCAGCAGAGCAACCAGTCCAGTGTGAGCCCTGTGGGCACCAGCATTGCCCAGCCTACCTGTCTCCAATTAGGGTCAGCATTACAGGAGGGGGCCTGCTGTGGGCCTCCTGAGAGGTGTCTCAAGTGCATTTGGACCCTGGTCACATCGTCTGCTGTCCCCAGATCTCTCCAGGCAGCAGGAGACCCCCATCCTGCCCATGTGGCCCATATGAGCCATCTGCTTCCAGCCGCCCAGCCCTGAAGACACGATGAGGCATCTCAGAGTCATGGCGGGGTCCCCAGGCAGAGGTCAGGGCGCACTGGGAAGCTCCCAGGAGTGAGGACAGGACAGGACTACCCTTCTGGTGGCTGGACTGGCAGAGGTCAGCTTGGTGTCATGGTGGAGGCTCTGACCCTTGGCCAGTGGGAGGGTGATGGGGTCCTTAGGGAGGCTGGATGGGCCTTAGCTCTCCATCCTGCAACACCTCAAGATGTGGCTTCTCTCAGCTTTCCAGGTCCGCCTGCCCCCAAGGGCCTAGCAGGACAACAGGGACCTACGCGTCTCCAGGGATTTCCTTCGCTGCCGTTCAGGCCCTGGCCCGGTGCTTCTCCCGCCGTGGGCAGGGTTCAACCAGAACAGACAGGCCCCTTCCCAGTTGGCCTTTTTCTTTCCTCTGGGATCAACCCCAGGACCTTCACACATAGCCACCTCCCAGCCCTTTTTATTTTTCACTTGGTAACGGGGCCTTGCTCAGCCACCCAGGGTCCCTGCTCAGCCTCTGAGCTGCCTTTCCACCCACCCTGGGGAATGTTCCAGAGTGTGCTATGCTTTCTGGTTCCCACTGGGGACCTGTCCTTTGTCTACTGGGCCCACTTGGCCTTGAACTTTGTCTTGGCCCCAGGGACCGCCCTCCGCAGGTGCCCAGGAGGAAGACCGTCCGGAAAAATCAGTCCTATGGCCCTGAGCACAGGGTTCGTTTTTGTGCATCAGTGCTCTTTGTACATTGCAGAATTATTTGAAGTTTTTAAAATGGATTGTCAAGGGGTTTTTGCCTGTTCACCCATCTTTTAAAAATACCTATTTTTTATCCAAAAGTTCACAACTGTGGGTTCAGAGCCATCAAAAACATCCACAGTGCTGCCCAAGCCTGTAATCCAGCATTTAGGAGGCTGAGGCAGGAAGATGGCTGTGAGTTTGATCCCAGCCTGGACTACACAGGAAGACCCTCTCTCATGAAACCAAAGCAACCAAAAAGAAAAAGAAAACAAACAAACAAAGAACATCTGTGGTGAGCATTGAGCAGCTGTCACCCAGGTGCACCCACAGAACTTCCCATCCAACCCCGCTAATGCCCTGCACATGTCCAACTCTCTGTCTCTAAATGTGACTGTTTGCAAGGCCTCATGGAATAGCGAGGTACAGGGTTGGTCCCTTTGAGACTGGCATGGGTCTCCTTTGGAGGGAGCAGCTGTGGGGGGGTGCACACGTGGGTGCCCCCTTCTGGTTGTGGGGAGCAGTGTTGCTGTGAATGCCCGTGCAGGGTCCTCTGGACGCTGCTTCAGATTCTGGGTCTGGACTGAGCTGGGATGGTGACGGCTGGGTCACATGTGAGTCTGCATGTGATATTTATAAGAACCACAGCGTCTTCCACACAGCCCCCTGCTTCACATCCCGCATCCCACTCCCCAGCAGTGCACAGGGCTCACACACTCACTGTCCCAGGAATGCTTTTTTAGTGTTAAAACCTGGGTTTGCACAGCCACAGTGAAGGTGGTGAGCTCCATGTGAACCCCAGCCTGGTGTGGCCAGCATCCTGGCTTTTCAAGGCCCTCATATATCTGCTTTCAGCCCAAGATTGGTTTTCCAGGCTCTCACATAGGAATTCTGTAGGTGGAGACCCAAGTCTCAGCTGTACCTATACGTGATGTACCACGTCAAGGTGCAAACACTGCACGTGACCTATCCGTGGGGACAGCACACTGGTATCCTGAGGCCACTTTTCTACTGTTCCCACGCCGCTCACCCCCTTGATAGCCCACTGCCATTGCTCTGGAAGCCATGCTGTGTGGCCCCCTGCTGGGACTCTGGTTTGTATGGTGTCTGTGAGAACTGTGCCGTGGCCTCATGTCACAGGAATGTGTCCTTTGTCGCTGCGTGGGTTTCTGCGTGGGTTGCAGGTGGTGCAGACCTGCAGCTGGAGAGCTTGCAGGCTGCTGTAAACAATCCTTGTGTGTGTGACCAGGGTTTTGCTTGGGTGTGTTTCCTCCACTCAGTGGTGTGGAACTCATGGGTCCTGGGCAATCGGTGGGTTTGGGTAAAGGTCAGTCTGTCACCCAGGGCCACCTTTGCTGTTGGTCACCACCGCCTGCTCTGCTTGTCTGGTGGTATCTCCTACCCTTCCAAAACCATAGTGATTTGCTCGGAAGCCAGCATGAACTCCGGGGTTAGGAAGCCAGGCTGGCTGGTGCTGATTCTGCTGTGGGTCTTACTTTCCTCTTCTCCCTCCTCCCTCTCCCCTCTCCCTGCTCCTCCTCCTCTCTGTTGTACTTGGAAAGCATTTTCAGCCATTGTGTCTATGCTCCAGTGTTTGCGGAATCCTGTTGACACCAGAGTTTAGGTTGATGATGGTTTTCTTGTCCCTGCCTTCCTCATTCGGCTGTTGCCTCCTGCAGCCCCTCTGGCCCTGTACTTCCCGAGGGACGCCTACCGGGAGCAGCTATACCTGGACCAGCCAGCTGGCACACCACTGCTGTATGTGCATGCTCTGCGTGACACACCTGAGGAGCTGCCCAGCTTCCACTTGGGCCAGCACCTCTACAATATCTACCACAAGCCGCTGCACAGGAACGACTGGATCCGCGTGGAGGACACCGGCCTTCTCTACCTCAACCGCAGCCTTGACCTTGGCTCCTGGGAGCAGCTCAGCCTGCGAAGTAAGGGCGGCCAGCACGGCCCCGGCCCATCCAACTTGGAAGGAGGCTGCATGGCCCCCAGGCTCCCATTGGGGAGGTGGGGCAAGGTGGCATCTTTGCCCGTGTCCACTAGCGAAGGAGTCTTCAAGAGTCTGGGTAGCTCTTGGGCCTCCTGAGGCTACTGGATTTGGGGACCTGTCTGGGTCCTCATCAAGCAGAATCTGGGTACCTTCCTGAAAGCAGCAAGTGTTTGGAGGTTATAAAGGGGTGCTGGAGGCTGGAAAAGCCTCAGGGCTTGATTCAGCTGGTGCCCAGAGTGGCAGCAGGCCCAGAGAGTGCCTCCCTCCCCCAGATAGGCACTCGGCCTGGCCAAGGTGTCCCGGAAAGAAGGGAGCCTGGGAGACCTGGCCAGAACCCAGGTCTCAGTCTCATGGAACCCAGTCTGGGAAAGGGTAGATCAAATGCAGCCTTGATCCAGCTGGGATCACTGAGCAGGGAAAGGCCTGGGGTGAGCAGCTGGCCAGGTCTTGGAGGAGGTGGCCAGAGGTGGTTCTGGGTTCTAGGTATGCCTGCTTGTAGCCAGGCCCTTCGTGAACCCCATGGTGTCTGCATTTCCTGGGAGGCCTGAACCAGCTATGTCCAGACACTGCTGGGCCCAGTTAGGCAAGGAGCCACGGAGGTGTATGAGGAATGACTCACCACAGCTGGGGGTGGACGGAGCAGGGCAGGCTAGGGAGGAGCAGAGAAAGCAGCCCCGGAGAGCCCCAATCTGCTGGACTCTGGCTTCCCTGCCACGTGATGGCGTGGCAGGAGTGCTGTGGAAATGCCCTTCAGGGGCTTTGGACATCTGTCCTTGGTGGCCCCAAACAAAGCCCTAGGGCAGCAGGCTGTGCACAGAAGCCCGCGCTGGGGAGCCTCCCACCGTGAGGGTGGGGGTTGGGGACACTATGAGGTTGGTGCTGGTGACAGCAGGTGGGCATGGCAGGCTGGGTGCTGCAGCCTCGGGGCCCTGCATGGAGCTGGGAGGTGGAGGTAAGCACTAGCTGGACATGAATCTTGGACCTGTCTGCCCCGTGCCCATGCCCACCAGACAGGTGAGGCCTGTGTCCCACCTGACTTCTCTCCCCACAGATGGTGGCTTCCCCCTGCTAACCATCTTCCTCCACGTCTTCCTGTCGTCCCCACCTCTGCGCGAGGGCGAGTGCCACTGGCCAGGGTGCGCCCGGGTGTACTTCTCCTTCATCAACGCCTCCTTCCCAGCCTGCAGCTCCCTTTCCTCCCAGGATATCTGCTTCCCAAAGAACGGGCTGGAGAACGGGCTGTCCTTCCGGATCCGAGAGAACAGGCCGCCCGGCACCTTCCACCAGTTTCGCCTGCTGCCCGTGCACTTCCTGTGTCCCAACATCAGTGTGGTCTACAGGCTCCTGCAGGGTAAGTGGCTGGGTACTCCTGGGCCTGTGCTGGCTGAGCGCTGTCCTAACATGAAGGCAGTGGCTGGAAAGGTCTCCAGGGACAGCGGCTTCTGAGAGGACAGGAAAGGGTGGGGTGGACACAGTGGAGACACTGATTCAGCTACCTGGGCAGCCGGGGGCCCCCAGAGCAAACAGGAACTAGAACAGATGACCTGGCTAAGGATGGGGAGCACCTGTCCCCAGGCTTGAGAGCAGCCTTTGCACCCTGAAGGGCGTGGCAGCCACGGAGGCGGACTTACCTTGAAAAGGATCAGCCACACTGCAGGCTGTGTGAGCCTGGAAGCCAGCAGGTCCCTGAGAAGCAGGGAACCAGGGAACTTGATTTCTTCGTCTGCTGGTTGTGGCTGCTGAACGTTGTCCCAAGGATTCTCCCAAGCAGCCGGGCCATAGCCAACCTCTCCCAAAGCTGGGCCCAGGGAGGGCTGGTGTGGTGACCCCAAAGGAGAGGAGAGAATAAGAGACGTGCGGCCACCCTGGTGACAGCATAGGCGAAATCTCCAGAGAAGGAAAAGGCACCACTCACACCCAGCAAAAGCAGTGCTATTAGGCTTGGGATTTGCTTTCAGAAAGGAGCCCAGGCAGCACCCCCAATGTAAACACCATTAGCACTGCTCTTAGAGATGCTTAATGCCTGGCTGGCTGTCACCTGCTGTGTCCCCGCCCCCAGGTGACAGCGATGGCGGCCCCTTCCGCTGCGCCCCCGACAGCCTAGAGGTGAGCACACGCCGTGCACTGGACCGCGAGCGCAGGGAGCGCTTCGACCTGGTGGCCGCGTGCACCGTGCGCGTGGGCGCGCGTGAGGCCGAGGTGCGGGAGCCCTTCTCGGTCACCGTGTACGACGAGGACGACTCGGCGCCCAGCGTCGCGGGGGCCGCGGACACGGCCAGCGCAGAGGTGGTCTTCCGGCGCAAGGAGGTGCGGGGTGCACCGGGATCTTAGCTGTTGACGCCCCACCCCGCGGGCCTGGGGAGGGGGCGCCAGCTGTAGGGGCGGGAAGGCGCTCCTTGGGGACCTTGAGGATTGTGAGCAGGAAGCTTCAAGGGAGGGGGCGGCGCCTCCTTAGTGGGGCGAGGCGGCCAGGGCTCTGCTGTGCTGAAAGGGACCTTTGGGGGCGGGGTCTCTTTTGGGGGCGGAACAGTGGCCCAGGGCAGCCTGTGGGGACCACTGTTGGCACGGACTTGTTGGAGGGGGGGGCCCTGGATCCTCTCTGACAGCCCTTTACATCCCCCACAGGGCACAGTGGTGGCCACGCTGCGCGTGTTCGACGCGGACGTGGTGCCAGCCTCCGCAGAGCTGGCCCGGCGGTATACTGGCACTCTGTTGCCCCGGGACCCCTGGGCCCAGCAGCATTTCCGCCTGGAGCACGCGCCCAACGAGACCCGTGTAGCTGCGGAAGATGGTGGCACCGTGCGGGCCACTGTGCATGACTTCAGTAAGGGGTCGTCTGCCTGCCTGTGACTACACCCAACACACCGCGTGTGCACACCACACACCCGTGTGCACACTTCACATGCCGCATATACACACTGCACACTTGTGTGTATACACACACCACGGTCTACATTCCATACATGCATGTGTACACTGAACAGATACCATACAACACATTACACGCCACTTGTGTACACCCACACACACTGTGTTCGTATTATGTATGTGTACTCACCATGCACTTCCCATTCAGAACTCACACTCCTGTCTGCACCCACATCTGTGTGCACTGTACGTATATATACCATGCTGATCCTCCTCACAGCACACAACTCACACGCACTCCTATGCACACAAAGCTTGCCCTAATTGAGACAGGCTCCTGGGGCACGTAGCTCAGCGTTGCTTCTCAGGGCTGACCCTGGCCTCTGGTTGGGGTTCTTGTGTGTGCATATGTGTGTGCAAGCTGTGTCTGGGAGGAGATGCATGGTTGTGGTCCAAGCCTGGTTGTCACCATCATGTCCCCACCCTCAGAGCTGGTCCTCAACCAGAGCCTGCCTATCTCAGAGAGCCGAACTCTGCAGCTGGACGTGCTGGTCAATGACTCCACCTTCCAGGGCCCGGGCTCAGGTGCCCTCCTCCTCCACTTCAACGTGTCGGTGCTGCCTGTGCGTCTGCGCCTGCCCAGCACCTATTCCTTCTCTGTGAGCAGGCAGGCCCACCGCTACGCCCAGGTGAGAGCGGGATCAGGCGCAGGTGGGATGGTGGGGCTGCAGATGCAGGCTGGGGACCTTGCCAAGGCACAGCTTGGGACTCCTCGAGCCATCGTTTTTTCCTCTTCCTCCTTGCACCATATTTTGCACTAATATAAGAGCAATACCAGCTGAATCTGTGCATCCTAACTTGGAAACTCAACTCAGGGTGGGAAGGTGTTCGTAGAGGAAAGGGTTCAGGCTGGGTCTCTGCCTGAACAAACCTTGCTCAGTCTGCAAGTGTGCAGTGTGGGGAGCAATGGCGCCCTCTGGTGGAAGACAGGAGCCTCGCTTCTACTCGGCGACTGCCTCTGCCAGCGCTTGTGAGGTGCATGTTTGTGCTTGAAAAGAAAACAATTGGATGTGGACAGATAAAGCTCTAAGTGGTCATTAAACATGAGGAGGGAAAGAGTGCCCCTGCCAAGCCCACAGCTGAGTGGGCAGGGCACTGCTTAAGCACTTTCTGAGCTGAGTCCCCTGCTTCTGAAGAATGTCCATCAAGCCTGGCTCTTCTTGTCCCAGTGGTTTGTCTGTTCTTTGGGTTGGTCCTGGCACTGGCCCAGAGGGACTCATCCCTGTGATAGGAGGGACCCGTTAGAAAGCTGAGAATGGGCAGCAGCATTGGGTACTAGAGGACAAGCAGATGGTGCTGGGAGCACAAACTCCATGGGTGGAGGGCCCCCCACCCTGTAACTCTCCATCTGGCCTAAGACTCTGGCTTCTGGGCCCTGGTGGGGCCACCTTAAAGCTGACTCCAGCCCATGGGCAGCACCGGCCCCACCTCGACCCCATCCGGAGCTCTTGGCTTTGGCTGTTTGCAGCTGTGAGTCTCAAGTAGCCGAGGAATACGAAGTCCAGCTACCCGGCTGTGGGACCTGGCGTCCCTGGAAGGAAGGGCTCCCGTCTCCAGATTGGCCCCTGGTCTTGTGGGGCCAGGTAACTGTGTTGCATTGGTTGCACCCAATAGCTGACAGCAGGGCAGGGTGTTGCTCTCACCTGTGGCTCCTGGGAGCAGAGGTCACAATGACTCAGTGACCTGGACAGGGCAGATCTACAGCCTGCAGAGTTCAGGGAGCTGCTGTCCCAGGTCAATGGAGGACAACCTGAGGTCAGTCACATCCACTGAGCCACGCTGTGCCCACAGGTCGGCAAGGTCTGTGTGGAACACTGCCGGGAGCTCAGTGGTGTGCATGTCCAGTACAAGCTGCAGCCATCCAGTGCCAACTGCAGCGCCCTGGGGGTGCTCAGCTCGGCCAGGGACACCTCAGGGACCCTGTTCGTGAATGACACAGAGGCCCTGCAGCGGCCCGAGTGTGACGAGCTGCAAAACACAGTGGTGGCCACCGACCTGGAGACCCACCTTCAGGCCCAGGCCGTACTGTTGGTCACTGTGGAGAGGACACGTGAGTCCGAGTTATGGGAAAGTCACCCATGGTTTCTCCCTGAGCTTCAGCCTCCCGCTTGTGTCCCCTCAAAATCTGGCCAGAAGCTAGTGGGGACATTGTGGCTGCATGGCGAGCATCCTTGTCACCTGGTTGATGTGTTGTATACGTGCACTCACCTTGAGGCTGCTGGATTAGATGCAGAACCCTGGTTAAACCTGGGGATTCTGAGTGATCAGTGTGCACTTGATTGGAGCAGGCTGAACTGCCCCTCAGCCCTGAGTCCACGCTGCTTCACAATGGGGATGTTTGTGGTGGCTGACCTGGTGTCCAGGTGGAAAGTCCCACACTGGCTCCATCCAGGTCACAGAGTGCAGGGCAGTGAGGCTTCCAGGGGGACTCAGTGGGCTTGGAGCTGCATGACAGACACACTGTGAGCCACAACAGGACCCTTTCTCTTAGCCTTGGTCCTGCTCAGTGCACACATGACCAGTCCCCAGATTGTACCAATGAGCTTCTCACTCAGCCCATGAAGGACACTTGGTCCGAGGAGGCTCCCAATGAGGTTTCTCAAAAATCAAAGCTCAGTGCGTCCTCTCTGTGTGTGGGACTGACGTTCATAGAGCCCCCTGTCTGTCTTTAACTGTGCTGGGTGCCCCTAGCGTGTGGTGTGACACTGAGCCAGCTGTCCTCAATCCATCCCTGCTTTCCTTCTCCCGGGAGTGGCCCCCACTTGTGACCCAGGTGCCCCACCCCAGCACAGTCCTCTGGGTCACCAGGCTCAACCTGTTGACAGCGTGACCCCTAACCCTGGCTGTCTGCCTCTCAGATGTGACCGAGGCAGCAGGCTGCCCCCTGTCTTGTGCGGTCAGCAAGAGGCGCCCTGAGTGCGAGGAGTGTGGTGGCCTGGGTGCTGTGTCCGGCCGGTGCGAGTGGCGGCAGGGTGATGGCAAAGGTGAGCCAAGCCAGGAGTGGGGTGCTGCTGGGGAGGGCACCTCCAAACACGAGTCCCACACCCAGCCTGCATGACTCCCACCTGCCAGCTCTGCGGTGCCTACAGCACCAGGGAGGCTCTGCCACTGGGACCCGAGGTGCCCAGGTGATGTGCTGATGGGGCAGGTCGGGATCATACGTAGATGTGCAGAACAGTGGCTCCCACTGTCACCCCCACCCTGGTGAGCTGCCCATCACCACGGTTGTGCATTCGGGACACTCCCTGGGCTTCCACAGTGGTCAGGGATGTATGCAGTTTCTCTTCCTGGGCCTCAGTTCTCTTCTCCAGAGGGCTAGCTGGGCAGAGGCGGCCATGGGGTGTCTCAGTGGCAGCATCCACACAGTGATGGCTGTGTCACACTGCAGGAATCTCCAGAAACTTCTCCACCTGCTCCCCCAGCATCAAGACCTGCCCCGATGGCCACTGCGATGTTGTGGAGAACCAGGACCCCCACATCTGCCCCCAAGACTGCCTGCGTAAGCCACGGATGGTGGGGCTACTGGGGGACAGTGCCAAATCTGTATGTAGGGGGCAGTCTGGGCCCCTGTGCAGCCCTGGGTTCTGCCCCTGGCATGGCCACAGGACTAGATGTCATAGTCGTGAGGCTCTTCCCACCTCTCACCTGGACAAGGGTTCTGTCCCTGATATGGTGGCCCTGGTGCTTGGCCTCACTACCAGCACTGCATTCCTCTGCTCCTCGTGGGCCACCCTACCTCTGCTCTGTTCCTGGAACACCCAGGGATTCTGCAGGGGCCCTGGGCCATCTGGGTTCCTCCCCCATAGCCAGCAGGTTGGCTTGGGGAGCTTTGAGGCACAGCCACCTGCCCAGAAGAGCGCTCCTGACTCTCCTGCAGACTTGGTCATGAGGTGGCAGGAGCCCTCCCACCTCCAGGCTGCAGGCCACCCTTGGTGATCCTTGCATCTATCCTCAGGGGGCAGCATCGTGGGGGGACATGAGCCGGGGGAGCGCCGGGGGATCAGAGCTGGTTATGGCACCTGCAGCTGTTTCCCGGAGGAAAAGAAGTGCTTCTGCGAGCCTGAGGATACCCAGGGTGAGGGCGCAGCTGCTAGGAGCAAGAGAGGTGCAGGGTCCAAGGCTGCCTCAGTTTCCCCACAGGTGTAGCCAGGAGAGGCACAGAAGCCTCTGCAAAGAGTCTTCTGCCCATGTTCTTTGATGAGGGCTGGGGCAGTGCAGGGCTCTTCCTCTGACATCTATCCCTTCCTGGGCCCCATCCTCTATCCCTGTCCTGCTGTCATCTTCAGGTCCCTGTTACCTGATACTAGAGGCACAGGCCACAATGGCTGCACCGGAGATGGCTCCCACTTCACCCAGGGACACCAGCAGTGCCTGACTTGTAACAGGGCCTTGGTCTGAGGCTCTGCCTCTGTGTCCTCTCATCCAGCCCTTTGTGAAGGAAATTCCAGGGGCCCTAGGACTGGGCATCTGACTCCCCGGGGGGCTGGTTCAGAGGGTGCTGCCCCAACTGTGTGACCTAAGCAAGCCACTCAATCTCTGTATCCCCATGGTGATCAGGAGGAGGTGGTCTGAGGCGGGGCAGGTCCTCTGGTGGGTGCCTCACGGGCTCAGGGTTCTCACAGGGCCCCACTGCTGAGGGCTGTCCGCCTATGCAGGCCCGCTGTGCGACGACCTGTGCCGCACGGTGATCGCAGTGGCTGTGCTCTTCTCCTTCATCATCTCGGTGCTGTTGTCCACCTTCTGTGTCCACCGCTACCATAAGCATGCACATAAGCAGCCTATTGCGTCGGCAGAGATGACCTTCCGCCGGCCCGCCCAGGCCTTCCCGGTCAGCTACTCCTCGGCAGGGGCCCGCCAGCCCTCACTGGACTCTGTAGAGAACCAGGTCTCTGCTGACACCATCAAGATCCAGGTAAGGGCCTCTGGCCCAGGGCAGTGACTCCTCACTCAGGCTTGGTCCCCAGGGCTCCTCGATGGCTGTGCCTCCGTCCCCCTCACTTTACCTGTCTCTTCTCCATCCCCCTCAACCCACACAGGAGGACCCCAAGTGGGAGTTCCCTCGCAAGGATCTGGTTCTCGGGAAGACCCTGGGTGAGGGCGAGTTCGGGAAGGTGGTGAAGGCCACGGCCTTCCGCCTGAAGGGCACATCTGGCTACACCACCGTGGCCGTGAAGATGCTGAAAGGTATATGGGGCCACAGGGCTGAGTGCAGGGCAGCCGTGCCCCTGGAGAGGCAGCAGAACATGTGTCCCGGGGTATGAGTGTGACAGTTGTCACCCCGCAACCCAGAGGGTCCTGTAAGGAGCCCCTACCAGGCACCCCTCAGCCTTCACACCTTCCAGTGGCCATGTGGGCACTGGCCTCGCAGATGCAGGCCAGTGGCAGCTGGCATGTGGCACAGCACTCTTGTCACAGAGGCAAGATGGGGGCTACACAAAAGGGGCCTTAGGATGTGTGTCCAATCCTCTGCTCCACCACTGGCCCCAGCCTCTGGGGCACTGTGAGGCCCTCGGGAGATCCAGTCCCTGTGCCCTGAAGGAGATGGCTGTGCCAGCCCTGCACAGTGGCAGGGCTGGGGTGTAGCCCGCTGTCCCCACTGTCTTCCAGAGAACGCATCCCAAAGTGAGCTGCGTGACCTCATGTCTGAGTTCAACCTCCTGAAGCAGGTCAACCACCCGCACATCATCAGGCTGTATGGGGCCTGCAGCCAGGACGGTGAGCAGGCCAACGGCTCCGCCCCCAGCACCCCTGCACCCCTAGGGTTCATGTATGTGGTGCTGGGTCCCCGAGAATGCCAGTTGCTAGCTGAGCTCCAAGGACTCGCAAGTCCTGCGTGTGTGTGGCCTCCAGGTGGCCTGACCCAGATCTGCACAGCAGGACACTGTTATCGCTTCAAAGCTGAGACTGAGGAGACCACCTCATATGTCTTGGTTTCTGACCTTTGATGTTGCCCTGGGCTTTTCGGCATTTGTGTGTGTGCACGTGTGCAAGGACAGGGCAGCTAGCACCTGGCCAGCACCAGGACCACTCTGGCCTTACCAGGCCCTCCACCGGCCCTCAGAGCTATGCATTACTGAATGAGGACCCAGGGCAAGTTGGGGCTCCTAGTGACCATTGTTCCCTGAAGGGAGCTGGTGCCCACAGGGTTGGGTGAGGGGATACAAAATCCTGTGTTGCTCAGGCCACCCTAGCAGGGATAGCCAGGCTCCTGATTGCTGTCCTGATTGCTGCCCCACCTGCTCATGTGGCCTCACCCCTGCTGTTCCTGCCCCCAGGGCCGCTCCTCCTCATCGTGGAGTATGCCAAGTATGGGTCCCTGCGGGGTTTCCTCCGGGACAGCCGCAAGGTGGGGCCTGGCTACGTGGGCAGTGAAGGCAACCGCACCTCTGGTACCCTGGACCATGTGGACGAGCGGGCACTGACCATGGGAGACCTCATCTCCTTTGCCTGGCAGATCTCCAGGGGCATGCAATACCTGGCTGAGATGAAGGTAGGCATGGGTGCCGCTCCCCAGCCCTGCCTGGCCCACCCACCAGTCACCTGAGGGTCCCGCTGCCCTTCCCCACAGCTTGTGCACCGGGATCTGGCAGCCAGGAACATCCTGGTGGCCGAGGGGCGGAAGATGAAGATCTCAGACTTCGGGCTGTCCCGGGACGTGTACGAGGAGGACTCCTATGTGAAAAAGAGCAAGGTACCCTTCATAGAGTGCACCTGCAGGGGGGTGGCTCACAATGGGGGGATGGTGCCCTCAGATCCTCCGGACAGCTGCAGCAGCTCTCAAGCTGCCAACCTCATTCTTGGGTCCACCGAGACCATTTCTGCTCTTCCTGCATCCCATCGCCTTCAGGGGATGCTTTGCTGGTCACTGTCACTTTACAAGGCTACTTCAGGCTTGAAAGAGGTGGTGGCTCTTTGCTCAGGGCCATAGCTCGGGGTTTTTGTGGTCCTAGCATTGTCCTTCCCCAGGGAAGACACCCTGACCTCTTAGTTTTGTCACTGTCTCTTCTACTTTCCAAAAGCCTAGTGATGGTCCAGGTGGGGCAAGTTTGTGACCAGGGGTCCCAGGAGCCAGGCGTTCACACAGAGGCTGGCCCCACAGAGAAAGAATAGCAAGCACTAGACGCAGCTTCTTGGTTCAGCTCTGCTGCTGGTTTGAGGGCCCTGTTTGCTTTTTCTAGGGTTTCCAAGGCAACAGAGACCTCAGAACCACTGAAGGGAAAGGGGGGGCTGTTGCCATCCTAGGGGATGTGCTGCCACACCTTCCTGTGACACAGGACCGGGAGGGGGCTGCAGCCTCACAGACAACCTCCCGAGAAGGAGTGGATGTGAGCACAGGGTCCCAGTGCTTTCAGGAAAGGGGATTTGCAGTAAATGCTGTGGCTTTAAGCCAGCTGCTCCGGAGGCTTTGCTGAGCAGGTGGATGCGGCCTGCACACCTGCAGCTCCCAGGGTGTGCCCTGGGACCAGTCACTCTGTGTGGCAGTGGCATCTCAGCAGCTCCCTGCAGCTGCAGCTCTGGCTGGGGCTCTGGGCCTTGTGGCTGGTCCTGACCCAGGACTCCCAGAGCTGGGACGCAGAGTCACACAGATGCCCTCTACAGGGCCGGATTCCTGTCAAGTGGATGGCGATCGAGTCCCTGTTTGACCACATTTACACCACGCAGAGTGATGTGTAAGTGTGGCTGTCCGGCTGGGGTGGTGGAAGCCACAGGGCCTGTTGCATTGCTTGGCCAGGGCAATGCTGGCCGTGAGGGCAGGGGCCCCAGGGGAAAAGAGGGCAGGGCAGTAGGGCCATCAACACCCAGCTGACATCCAGCTGGCAGGCCTGATGGCTGTGGGGTAGACACCTGGACCCTGGCAGGTAGAAACACTCATTGTTCCCTTGCTCATGTCAGGTGGTCCTTTGGGGTACTGCTGTGGGAGATTGTAACCCTGGGGGGCAACCCGTACCCAGGGATTCCTCCCGAGCGACTCTTCAACCTCCTGAAGACGGGCCACCGCATGGACAGGCCGGACAACTGCAGTGAGGAGATGTGAGTGGGTCCACTTTATCAGTTGTGCTGTGCCACTGGACAGACACTGGACACTCCCATGGAGTCAGTTCAGCCACCCAGTTCCTTCCCACTCCTCAGCATCCCTGGGCCACCACCCCAAACAGTACAGACAGACAGAGAGCCCTTGTTAGATGGGGTAGACACTGAGGCAGTAGCAGGCTGTGGGGAAGAGTAAGCCCAGCGTACCATAAGACACATGGGCAAGTGCTGAAGAATGCCCAGTCTGAGAGCACCACAGCCATCCTGCTTTCCAACAGGCAGTTCAGCCAGATGGTCCCAGATGGTTCCAGAAGGTTCTAGATGGTCCCAGGTGGTTCCACATAGTCTTACAGGGTACCAGGTGGTTCCAGAAAGCAGAGTGAATACACACAAAGAGATGTCCAGAGGCAGAGACTTGTACCAAAGTCTGTGCCCTGCTTAGGACACGGTACCCAGCCAGCACCACAGCACCTCCCTATACTCTGTGTTGCTGCCCATTAGCCAGGCCTGGGCTCCTTCAGAGGCTGGAAACATGTCAGTCAGAGGTGTGATGAGCCACCCATACCCGAAAGCTCAGTCAGCTCATCCTGGCACTTCCTGCTCAGCCATCAGACCTGGATCGATATCCAGCCTGCTGTTTACAGTGTTCTATGAAGAGAGGGAAAGTAAACCCTGCAGGGAAGGGGAGCCCCTGGGTCTGAAATGAGCCATGTCCCAGTTCCCCACAAGCTGGGAGACACCAGCAAGGCCACAGGACTGTGGTTCCTCAGGCCCTCAGGGTCCTCACAGATGCCCTCCTCCCTCCCAGGTACCGGCTCATGCTGCAGTGCTGGAAGCAGGAGCCAGACAAGAGGCCCAAGTTCGCTGACATCAGCCAAGACCTGGAGAAGATGATGGTCAAGAGCAGAGTGAGTCCCGGGCTCCTCCCGCCCCCAGGGCTGTAGTTTCTAGGCCAGGGTGGAACGCAGGGCGAGGCAAGGAGAGGATGTAGGCAGCCAGGGGAAGGGGCCCTGCTCTTCAGGCCAGGCCCAGGCTACATCTCTCTTGACCCCTGGAAGAGCTCCCCCAGGGTCGAAGCAGCTGGGGCAGCAGGGATGAGAGGGAGGCAGGCCTGTGGCTCCAGCTCCTCCACACGCGGCAGGATGTCACCACGTATGGCCGTGGCCAGGAGCCCCAGATGCCAGGTCTCCTTGCTTTCAAGAGGCCTGTGTCAAATCTCCTGGTTCTGTTAGCTCATTTATAAACTTTCAAAAGCCCAGTATGAGCCAGGCAAAGCTTGCCTAGAAGAGTCCTCCAGCCTGCACACCTCCCTTTATGACTGCGGGAGTGAACACATCGACTCCTCTTGGGCTGGTATTTCTTGAGTAAAAGTCCCGGAGGCCAGGGATGCAGTGAAGCAGCCAGGCCCTCGCGCCCTCACGCAGAAGTCTTGGTGTTGGTTGGCACGCTTACCAGAGGCATCCTTTACAAACTCAGGACGCAGAGCTTCATGGCACGGGCGGTACTGAGGTGGAACCTCAAGTCTGGGAGTCCTGACTCTCAAGAGCCAGCTCCAAGGACAGTGCCAAGGAACAGTGTGACCTGTACCAGCCTCTTGCACATGCACACACACATGTATACATGAGACAGTCGTGCTGGGACTTGGCATCAGTGGCAGTGTCATGGGCACAGCCATTTTTATACATTTCTGAACCCCAACACGAGCTCCAGGTAGAGGGGCCAAGGGCGAGACTGCATCTGCTGCTTGACACAGGTCTCCTCCACACATGACATGTGCCAGAGGAGCCCTCCCAGGCCAGAGTGTATGACAGGAGCTGTCTCCAGAGCTCCACTGCGAGGCAGGCATCCCAGGCTGTCCAAAGGCCCTGGAAATCTACAAGGGGGGACAGAGATAAAAGATGACACTTGGGTGGCAATGAAACAAGAGCCACCCTGGCGAAGGGCTCTGTCAGTCTCAAGAGGTGGGGATGCAGCCAGAACCCTTGCCTTGGGGCATGACAGGCTGGGGGTGACTGGGCCTCCCTGTCTTCCAGGACTACCTGGACCTTGCAGCGTCCACCCCGTTGGACTCACTGCTGTATGACGATGGCCTCTCCGAGGAGGAGACACCGCTGGTGGACTGCAGCAGTGCCCCCCTCCCTCGCGCCCTCCCCTCCACATGGATTGAAAACAAACTCTATGGTAGAATCTCCCATGCGTTCACTCGGTTCTAGCAGCGTGGCCCTCTGCACTGTCCTCACTGTCTGTAATGCTTCCTAAAACACGTGTTTCTGACCCGAACAAAACCAAAGTCTACGCTGAACCCTTTTCTTTGTACATGTCTGACTTTGCATCCAGTTTACCTGTGGGCCTTATTTTCGACTATGTCTTTCTAAAAGGATGTGAAAATAAGCGTCATGACCACACTGCCCAGCAATTAAAAAAAAAAAAAAATACGGCAGAAACCATCAGGGCCGAATTCTCAGGGGACATTGCGGTCATTTCAGGGGTGGTGCAAGTCATAGTACTTCCGGTTTAGTTATTTGGATAAAATTTGCCTGATGGTGAAAGGTTTAAATCCAAGGGGAGGGTGGCGCCCAGTGTGCACTGAGACACAGCTGGGGTCACCTCTCAGAGGCCCTCTGGGCCACAGCCCCGCTGGAGTGCAGGTCGGGCAGTGAGGCAGCGCCGGGCGGCCCTGCCGGATGCATGGACAATGCTATTTTCACATCCTTCCCCCATGGTCGTCACTCACGAAGCCAGTGCTCAATGCTGGAGCTGTTGCTTTTTGAAAGAACATAGTCTGTGGTGCTGTGGCCTTGCAATGGACAGTAAATACGGTTCTTGCCAAAACTCCTCTTGTCTTGAATTAAATACTTGAACGTTTTTCTGCTTCCTGACTTCATCACTGAGCGCTCGAGGAGATCCAGGCATCTCTCGAGCCAGGATGCGCCTTCTGCCGCCCCTCAGCTCACAGTCTCCACTGACGCTGGGGCTGGCTGTGCTGGCGAGGCCAGGGGCGCCATGCGCGCATGCGCGGGGGTGGTCCTCACCGCGGTGGCCAGTGGACTGGAAAATAGGCTCCTTTGCTAGATGTTCCCGCCACAGCAAGCCGTGGGCACATAGCCTTGGGCTGGTGCCTCCAACTCCCAAAGGAAGTCAGTTAAGCAGTTTAGCAAACCGAGCAGATTTGAAAATCTGAAGTCTAAAAAGGTCAAAATTGTTAGTTCTGCTAAATTCTGTTCTTCTAAGAGCGCATGTTCTTTGCCCTGTAGGACAGAGTACTGGACAGCAGGCATGTAAAACCATGAGTGTAATTAGCACTGAGAGCACATAATTTGGCTTGAACCTCTAAGGGAGTTTTGTCAAGGCCTCACTGTCTGCACCTGACACGTGGGTCCTTTGGTGCAGAACAAATGATGTGTTTTCATTTTTAGGCATGTCAGACCCGAGCTGGCCTGGAGAGAGTCCTGTACCACTCCCGAGAGCCGATGGCACTAACACTGGGTTTCCGAGATATGCCAATGATAGTGTATATGCTAACTGGATGCTTTCGCCTGCAGCGGCGAAGTTAACGGACACGTTTGATAGTTAACATTTCTCTGTGCACGGTCATGGACTCACGAGGGGAAGAACATGCCAAGAATGGACAGTCCACTGGCCCTTCCTGTGCCTGTCACCCCGGCCAGGCCGGGCCCAGGTGGCATACTCGTTCCCGGTAGTTGGTTCTAACTGGTTTCCCTCCTGATGGCTGGTGATGTCCCTCCCAGCAGACGTGGCCACCGGGTGAGTGCTGAGTCTTGGCGCTAAGTTGTCCTTCTCCTTTTGCACCAGGCAGCCCCTCGGTCCGTGTCCACTGGTGACCACCGTGTGCTCCCAGCCCCACGTGGGCCTGCCCCTCACTGCCTTGTGTGAGAAATTGTACCTGAACTGATTTTCCTGGTTGCCACTAAAACTGTGCAACAAGGTCGAACCGTGAAGCACACACACACAAACACAGAGGTAGTGGGAAAACCTGGCCAAAGTAGCCTGGCCTTACTCAGAAGATGCCTACAGGGCCCAAGTGGTGATAGCAAACCCCACCCTCTCCCTGGGGCTGGAAGGGAAGTGGGGGGCCCAGGACAGGCCCCGGCTCCAAATTTAATATCCTAGAAATGGTTTTTAAAATCACATAGCCTTTTCTTAGGAAGACACTTAGACTTTCACCATTCAAGTGATTCTTAGATTTAGCACAATGGGGATCTGATGCCCTCTTTGCTGTGTGCACAGCCGCTTTGGGGTGGAGGGTAGGGGACTCACAGATAGGTCCAGGCCTCAAGCGGTGGCGGAATGACCACAACCCACAGAATGTGGCAGCCTCTGGTGCTCCACCCCACGACCGCTCTGCCATGTGCCCTCTTTGGAGAGCAGCATGGGCCTTAGCACCCGGACCAGATGGAGCTGTGTGTGTCAGTGGGTCCCCTAGTGCTCTCTCCTGAAGGCACAGGCTGTTAGTCATGTTAGAAGTTGATGTTGACAGCGCCATGGACCACTATGCCCGACTGAAGCTGTGTCTTGGGAAGACACTGTCCAACTCTTCCTGATGGCAGGCAGCAAGTCTTTTCAATTCATTCAGTCTTTTCAATTCTGACCATGACTCTGACATAAGTTTCTTGCCACTCTGCACTCTAGCGTGGTCATGCCCTGTGCCCCTGCCTTGCAGGGGTGACCATAGGCATCTAGGCCTGTCATGCTACAGAAGGGGTTGTACCACCAGAACACTGCCTGATTATCAGACATCAGCACTGTCAGAGGACTGCGAAGAGTCTCCACAGACACTGCGCTTCGTGGGCACTTCACAAAGCAAATGAAGGCATTCGTGGGAGGAGGGCCCAGATGTGTGACAGCCCTGTGGTGGGTGGGTGTGCACATATGCATATACACACATCCAGAGAGGCAGAACACACTCAGAGATGTGTAATGTGACGTTAGTCTGGGCCGTTTTCCAGATACACTGTGATAAGTCCTACAAATACTATAGTCATGGTAGACTCCTGGTTCTCAGATGAGTTTCATGATAGTTTCATTAAGTGCAAAACTAAAGATAAAGTTATTAAAGTGAGTTTTACAGTTAGTTTATTCTCATGGCGTGAGACCTCTGGGTCCGAACACTCACCCAAGGATGGAGGACTAATGGTTGCCTAGTAACCCAGCCATGTGAGTTATAAGATACCATGTCTATTAGTCCTGTCAGACAACTTCATTCACATATATGCAGGCATTGCTAAGTGTTAAGTGTTCCTGAGTATTAAGTAGCAATCTGTCAGCTGTTAAATGTGTGAATTCCATTTAAGAAAGGTTATAAAACCATGCTGTGTTCATTTGTTTTTGTAGTCAAGGTGACTAAGGAAGTCATTTCAGTTGTGTAAATAAAATCGTATATCATTAAATGTGCACTTATTTTTTTTAACTTCCTAGTTGGCAATACCAGACCTGTGATTTTGACATTTACATACATTTCCATTTTGACATTGCGAACATGGGAATCTGTCACGGAGGCCACATGGGGACTGGTAGTTTCCAAAGATGGGGCTCCCACTGAAGCCATGTGACCTGATTGGTGGCAGTAGTTGCCGAACATGTACCCACTCCTGGCTCCAGGCTGCCTTCCTCGCAGAGGGGTCCATGCTAAGCGCAGGCCCTCAAGGTCCTCTGCCATGTCCTCAGCTGAGCACTTGTAGCTGGAGCACATTAGGAGTATGAATAGAACCAGTGTGTTACTAAACTCCACATTCGGAAACCCGCATGCCCATGTGGGGCCACACAGCATCCTTGCTGCCCTCGGGCCTTCTCCCTAGGTGGGACCCAAGCCCTGCCAGGAGCAGACAGAGCAGTGACCAAAGGTGATCTATCACTAACATAGACCTGACTGGTACACTCCATGCCCTGTTTCTTCCTGCACACGTGTGTGTGCACAGCCTTTGCACTCGGCAGCCATGGCCCAGCCCTCAGGACCTATGTCTGCTCACAGCACCTTTCTCCAGTCTGGACCACAGAGGCTGGACAGAAGAGAGTAGCTCTGGGTAGTGTTTGCCTTTCAACGTGTGACAAACCTTCCACACCACCACACTGTCTCTTGAGCCTGCTGCAGCCTTTACCTTGGAGGGGCGAAAGACCCTGGCTGAGAGTAGCAAAGTCCTGTCAGTCGCTTTCCAAGAGCAGCAACACCCTGTGAGGAACACCAGGTGCTCATTTCTTTTGTTTCCTGACCTTGCCATGAGGCTAGCTCACCTGGGTGGAAATCTGAGTTTGTGTGAGACTGGGCTTGGATAAGTATATGCAAAGGAAAACACACAGAAAATCCTCATGACCACCCACATAAAGAAAGCACTCTCCCCAGAGCTGTGGAGAAGGGAGAGAGGGTCCCTCTACTCTTTAAGCACTCAGCACATTTGGAGGATGGTACAGGAGATGCTTCAGTCTCTTTACCTCTGGCCACAAGCCAGAGGGTTTCAGGGTGCACATACTGCAGGCCTGGCCTCTGGTGGACATGCTCAGCCTCTGCCCTCTCTGTGACAGGCAGCAGCGTTGGTTGGAACTTTGCAAGAACTTTGTAGAGGGAGCTAGGACTGACCAGAAATACCATTTCAGTCAAGATGACATGGACCCAGAGCCTGTGGCTCAATTTGGGTATTCCCTGTGTCCTTCAGCAAGGCCCAGCTGATCATGTGACTCCAAGACTGCCAGCTTCACTCCCTGGTTCACCAGGCAGACACCTCAGACACCCCAGGGAAACCGTGGCTTGTCTCTGCTCTGTGCTTTTGAGTGCTGTGAATGATAGGGATGTATTCATCACTGGACCTGGATCTCAGCTGAGCCTCTGCGGGGAGGGGGAGCATGGGGCAGGTCACACGGGGCGATGAGAACTGGGCCAGGTGGCACAGAGGATATCAACAGGTCCAGCCATTCATGCAGGAGAGACCACAGGTTGTGTCCTTCTCAATGACACTGTGCAGTTCCAGTTGGCAATGATGCCAGCAAGCAAGGTAAGGAAAGTTCATTCTAAAGCTAAAAATTAATAGTCATTGTTTTGGAGAAGAAGAGAATATTGACATTTCATATATAGATGATATTTACCATGCAAAATGTCAGCTTCTTCAATAAAAATACGAAGTCCATCTCAGGTGTTCTAGCATTTTGCTTATCTTTGTGGGCAGCATAAATGATATCTGCCAGTATGCCAGTCTCCATCCACACGCCTAGTGGAGGGATGGGTCTTGGGGTTCTCCATCTTGGGGACCTGGGGTCTCATCCAAGTGAAGACGGCACATGAGGCTGCGAGACACAAGGGTTTGGCCGGAGGACTGTGGGGCCAGCACTAGCACCCTGGCCCAGAGCCCCCTCCCCAGTGAGGTCCTCTGCAATTTCCCTACCCATGAGTCTCTTCTGAGAGATGCTAAGACTTAAACACTTTCCTGCAAGCTGTGCCTACGGGATCTGGGAGGTTGAAATCCTCAGAGTCCCAGGGCAAAGGAGCGCATCAAGGGTGTGGAGCTACATCAGCGTCTGGAAGGCAAAGTACAATTACAGGAAGTTAAATAACTCTGTAATTGCAGCACTCAGGAGACAAAGGCAGGAGGATCACTGCAAGGCTGAGGCCAGCCTGAACTGCATAGTGCGCCCTGTCTCAAAAAAAGACCAAAAAAAAAAAAAAAAAAAAAAGGAATAACATTGAGCATGGAAAAATTCTGACCCTTCACCAGACCCACTGGAGGAAGTAAAGGAAGCTTTGTCACAGGAAATTGTGCTTTTTAAGAGCTACCTAGTTGGCCGGGGATTTAGCTCAGTGGTGTAAGTACCTGCCTGGCAAGCACAAGGTCGTGAGTTTAATCCCCAGTGCCACAAAAAAAAAAAAAAAAAAAAAGAAGAGCTACCTAGTTATGGAGCTAGGGGTTTAGCTCAGTGGCATAAGCACCTGCCTTGCAAGTGTGTCGTCCTGAGTTCGATCCCCGGTACCTATAAAAAAGAAAAAGACCAAAAAAAAGAGCTACCTAGTTATGTATCCAGCAGTCATCTCTTATCTTCCAGAGAGATATGCAAGACTCCAGTGGATGTGGGAAACCAGACAGAGCAAATGCTCCATTCTGACAGTCAGGACGGCCACCTTGTGAGGACGAGCCAGTGGGTGGTGGGTTCCACGTGGGTACACTGGGCAGGGCAGGGCTTGTGGCTCACCTTGAGGAATGTCTTGTGCTACTCAAGAAAGAGCACAAAAGCTAAGACACAGAATCTTATTTCTTCTTTTCAGAGTCTTATTTTCATTGAATTTCACATCTTGAGTAACTGCCACATGGAAAAAAAAAAACCATGGCTAAGGAGTACTATTCTACTTCCATTGCACAAAACTAAACCAAATCACTTGAATGACAGCAGGGAGGAGTCCTTCACCCAGGAGTTGTACAGTAATGGAATCATCTGGCTTTACCTGGCATCTTCTGGCAAAAACTCCAAAGCAAGCAGAGAAGAGGGAATACTCTGTCAGGGAAAAACAGGTGTGGGGAGGCTTCAGGTCTGCCAAAGCTGGAAGCTGCTGGCTGCTGGACAGCAGCAGGACACTTTGGGTTCTTGTTAGAGGAACACACTTGGCTTTCTCTGGTTGGCTCTGAGTTAGAAATGGCAAAAAATAGAGAAGTTGGTGGTAATTGACCACGTCCTGACCATTCTGGTATAATTACCATGGAGACTAGAGTCACAGGGCTTGGGGCAGACACTGTATGAGGAATCCTGCTGTGTGGCCTGGCTGCTGGGCTCCAAGGCTCCCCTCTTAGCTTTGATCTTGTTTCCTTGACCAATCCAAGATGGCAGGAGACCTTCACAACTTGAGGTACTCAGCTGGCTGTATCGGGAGATCTTTGTGTTTCACATCATCATGGCAATGGCTTGACAATGGCAGGATGCAATGGGATGGTATCTTGACAGTGTGACAAAAACAATGACAAGTACTTTGAACCAAGGACACAACGGAGTAACCCACAGCAAAAGCAGATCCCACCAGACAAGAGGATGCCTGAGAGCTGGTGGCCTTGGCCAGTGCTGTGACACCGGTTCTCCCCGCCCTATTCCCTGACCCAAGTGCAGCCTTAGCAGAGGCCATCAATGCACTAATAACAAGTGGGATGCAGGTGATGTCACTGTGACTTGGTCAGGGTTCCTGACACATTCCCCACCATGTGGTTCCCTCAGATGGGTCTTCAGTCTTCCTTTCCAGGTTTCAAGTTTGCCCCTTCCCAAACCTATCCTTGAAGAGCTGGAGATTTAGCTCAGCGGTGTAAGCACCTGCCTGGCAAGTCAAGGTTATGAGATCGTGATCCCCAGTACCAAAAAAAACTATAATTCTTCCAAACCTATGCTGGTGTCCACTGTCACTGTGGAGGGATGAGGCTGTGGGGACCTCTCCCTCATGGGAATTTGCGCTGTTGTAACACTGAGCACTGCACCCTTTCCCCCTTTGCCATGCGGTGACACCACGGAGCCTTCACTGGATGCAATGCCTTGTCCTGCGCTTCTCAGCCTCCAGCACTGGAAGGTGTTGTGTCTGGGCATGGAACCCCAAGGGCTATGGCTGTTGATCACGTGCTCCACTACTGAGCTCACCCCCAGCCTGGAAATAAGTGTCCTTCATTATGCATTGCTCAGGTGGTTGTTACAGGTGCACAAAACAGACTGAAATGGTGGCTTGTGTTTAGAGCACACATGAGTTAGCATCTTCAGCCCTGGTGACTTACAGAGTTAGAGTCTCTGTGCAGACAAGCCTTGGAGTAATACTCCTAGAGCACCTGAGATGTCCCCTGAGCACAGGCATCTTGAGCACAAAGGCCCTGTTCAGAAGAGATACGTGAAGAGCTCAGGCTGGACCAGGACTCACTGCTGTAAATACCCTTCATTCCTTAGAGAGCGTACACTGTGCCCTGAGTGTGTCTAAGGGAACTTGAGGCTTGGGCTCCTGGTCAAGCACTTTCAGGAAATGCTGTCAAGTGACACGTGATCCAAAATGACCTCAGTTGCTCCTTACTACTCCTCCTCTGTGTTGATTTAAAACAGTCAATGCACGTGTACTTTAAAAGTAGCTGCACAGAGAAATTTAGCTAATATCTACCTGGTGGCTACGACACCACCATCTCGGGGGCACCTGAGTATCTGAGTTCAGTTTGTCAAGTTTTTCACAAACTTCGACCAAAGAAAGTGTTAGGGAAGCAGTGTCTGTATCAGACTTCCATTTGGAGACTGTGGTGATAAATCAACAACTACTGCCCATTGGGCCTAAGAATCTTGATTCTCTAAGGTTTCTCTCGAATGAGCAATTTTGTTCCAGTGGGATGATCCACTGCACCCTTGGTGGAGAAAGTGCTCTTCAGAAGGCGCACATCCTTCAAAGAGGCCACATCCTGACAGTCTAGCAGAAGCAAGTGTGTGTGAGACACCTCACATGACTGCACCCCATCCCAGTGGCATGGCACACAGGAGAGGCCATTTGCTTAGGAGACTGATGGTACGCTGAAGCTCAGCACAAGCAGCCACTTATCAGTGGTCCTGGAAAAGATCAAAATTGAAAATACTGTAAGTGTGTACGTGTGCATGTGTGTGTGATGCTGGGGATAAAACTCAGGGCCTTGCACATGCTAGGCAAGTCTTCTACTACTGAGCCACATCCCTGGCCCTCAAATTATGCTTTCTATAGAACACCTGTGGGCTTTCTCAGTACTGTGAAGTTGAGCAGTCATCAAGTCAGGGACCATCTCAGAAGGAGGGGCTTAGGAGGGGGAGGGGCGGGTTCACTGACATTCAGCACTGTGAGAGTAACAGATGGTCTCCTGGGGCGCAGAGTCCAGAGGGGTGCTTCCTTCAGGCTATTGGTGGCCTCATCACACTTGTCCAAGTAAATGGTGTAAACTCATAGCTCCAGCCACAGGCTCCTGAGGCCAGGCAATGTGTTCCTCTGTGAGTTCCCTCCTACCACACTGCTGCACAACGCATGAGACGGGGGAGGAACAACCTGACTCTACCTATGATGCCACACATGTGGGCATCAGTCACAACCACTGGGTGCCAAACAGAGCAAAGGCAGAGCTCAGATCCAGTGCTCACTTGGTCACATCAGTGAGAACTCCATAAACTGACAGCACTACCACTTGAGGGCCCACAGCTAGGGAAGGCTGTCGTCCTTGGTGACAAGCGGTACGGGATAATGTCAGGGCCACCAGGGACGCCAGAAGCAAATGAAGACCACACAGCAGGCCTGACTTGGTGTTGTGCAGGTATTGGCCACCATCGCCTGCATGGAGCAGACTGTTAAGCCAGTGGCCAGTGAGATGACACGCTGTGTAGTGGGGGTTGGCTGTTACTGGGAGAAGAACTTTTGGAAAAAAAGTTTCCTGACGTGAAACACAATCATGCTTTAGTATTTTCCACAAAGAAACTACATTGTACACTAGGGCATATACACTACAAAGTACAAAGTATTATATATGCCCTAGTATGTATCACCCAGGTTTTGAATTGTGCCTTATCTGCCATCCAAAAGACACACAATTGCTATTTAATTTAGCTATTTAAAAAGTCATCAGAAGCTAAAAATTTGATCTGCTGTCTAAGAATCTCATTCACTACAAAAATAATTTTAGGAGGAAATGTAAATTGCAGTTTAAAATATGGGACAACTGAGTAACCTGGCTGCCCCAAAGCCATGCATTTTCCTTGGAAGAGCTTTGACATTTTTCTCCCCGAATTTCTGTTTTCTCCACTGTACATTGCAGGCTCTGACTCAGGGCTGTTGAGGGGATCAGAGGTTCAGAGGTTCAGAGGTTCAGAGAGAGGGGGATCCCTGGCAAGCACACTGCACAGGAAGGAGGAGGGCAAAGGGAGAGCAGACGTCACAAATGAGAGAAGACGGCAAGGAATGAAAGAAGAAAGTGATTGGTGTAGCAGAATGGCTCTGGATATTAGGGAGTGTGCTTAGGCCCTGAATTTGGTTTGTGGAGATACAGACCCTCTAGAGAGTTTGCAGGATTCATCACAGTTCTGGGGGTCTGTAGTGTCTGCAAGGGGCCTAGCCCCATGCTTGGCACAGAACAAGACAGCAGGAGTGGTGCATCACTACCCAAGGAGCAGACAGCACCCTCAGCTGAGAGACCAGGAGGAAAGGGACAGCCAACCCATGTGCCCAAGGACACGACTCTTACAAGCTGTCGGCAGGGGAGTCCAAGGCCACACAGAGTGGCCAGACATACTGACAACTTGGAAGTTGCCAGTCTGGGAATTGGTCCCAGGAGCTGCCATATCCACTGACTGTGTCCATGCTCAACAGGACTTGCATTGTAGCGTCCTAAACTTGCCAAGCCAAGGAGCAGAGCAATACCTGCTGTGGGCCAGGGACTGCAGGTGGGAACACACTGGTCCTCATCATCGACAGCTCCTGGACCAGCGCTGGCCATGACAAGGTTGATTCCTGACCTTTGGCCAGACAGGGGAAAGAGGCGTGGGAACTGTAAATGCTTACAGTTGTTCAGAAATGAGAGAGAGGCCCACAGCCCTGCAGTTGGAAGGAACTGGACAACAGATCACAACTGGTTTTACGAGTGGACCCTCCGCTCCCCAGGCCTTCCCACCGAGTACTGTGAACATCATAGGGCTGGTGTTAAAGATGCCAGCAAGTGCCAACCAAGGAGAGCAATGTGGGCAGGAAAAAAGCGGCTCCCCTCAACAGACTCCTAGGGGCATCCATCATCCCGCCCTCCCCTCCAGTACTATCCATGGTGATCGGCGCTGGACACAGTGCCAGCACTTTAGTACAGAACTGCATTCCATCCTCACAACTTTAATGTTTGCTCCCCAAACCCAGCCCAGGAAACTGAGGTTACAGAGGCAGTAAGGCCATGCCGACCCACGCGAGAAGCCCAGTCTTAGCACTCACCTCTTGCATCTGCCTGCACCTGGCTCTCAAGGCCTGGACCTCGAGGCCTTCTCTGGATGGTGCCCTGCAGTTCCGAGGGCAACAGCTGTCCCAGCCCTGCAGGGCCTCCACAAAGAGCGAACTTCTCAATGCACCCACAAATACGCAGGTGCCCACCACCCAGCAATATTGCCAGGCGAGCAGCTCGTGTGGGGGCGGGGCCGACGGGAAGTGGGCAGGGCCAGATGGCTGCGGGGGGCGGGTCAAACTGGCAGCGGGCGGGGACTGGATGCAGTGGGCTGGCGCCTGGGATGCGCGGGGTCCCTGGCGGCTCTGGCTGGAGTGGAGTGGGTGGGGTCTGGTATAATTGGTGTCGGAAGGAGGCAAAAAGCTGTGTGGGCGGGGCCCTGAGTGGGCGTGGTCATGTGTGGGCGTAGCGGGGAGTGGCTGGCCCGCGGCGGTGGGCGGGGTTCGCGGCGTGCGCAGAGCCCCGGGGCGGAGGTGGGCGGGGCCGGCGGCCTCATTTCCTCGCGCGCGCCGGAAGTGGCGGGCGGTCGCTGCGCGCCCGCTAGGTGGGCGGGTGAGGCAGCGCTGCCTGAGGCGGCGGGGCGCGGCTGGCGGTTGAGCGCCCTGAGTACGCGGCCACCACCCGCCGCCCGCAGCTCCCGGCCTACCCTGGTCCGGTCTGAGGGTCGCCAGCTGCGGAGCCACAGGCTTTCTCTGCTCGAGCCCGGGCCCCAGGGCGCGACCCTGACGGCGACAGGCAGCGCTACGTTCCCCCGGCCCGGCCGCGGTGACATCGCCGACCCAGCCTCGCGACCCCGCCGCTGTGGTGCAACATCGCCCGTGACCCGCAGCGCGCGGGCGGAGGACGTGTCCAGGCCCGGGCAAGCCCGGCTTGGGTTCAGCTCGACTTTCGGAGGCGTGGAGTCGGTGAGCGCCCGCGACACGGTTCCCCTGCTGGACCCACTGAGGGCATCGATCCGCCTTCTGCTGTGAGTGCCGTCTGTGTTGAGCCTCCTTTAGTGCAACTGTATCATGTGCTTCGCGCATTGCTCGTGGGTCGCATCTGTGATGTTTCATGATGGATGTCATTTATACGTGGAACAGTATTTTTATCTTACGTTCTTGCTTTTTGTTGTTGTGTAATATTCCACTATGTGATGGGTGAGGGCTTTTCTGCTGATCGGCACTTACGTTCCCAGTGCGTGCGCGCAGAGTATGCATTTTTGCATGTTCTGAATGCCGTGAACATTCTTGTCAGTGTTTGGTAAGCGTGTTGAGTCCAGTGGTCAGAAGTAGCTCTACTGCATCGTAGACTATGCACAGAGTAACATTTAAACTGACAAGAAAAATGGAATAAAGTCTCTTAACTAGTGTAACGTTAAAGGTTGCTAAAAAGTTTTTATTGTGACTTCAAGACTTTGGTGATTCACTATCATATTATTATTTACCCTTCCCGTTTCGTATCTGTGACAGCTTTGTTACAGACTGACATTACTCCTCTAGTTATGTTAGGTCTGTTATAACTGATCGTCATCTGCCTGTGTGTTTCTCAAGTTAGGTAGTTGTTAGGGAAAACAAATAGTCGTTAGGGGAAATGAAACACCAAAGGGTGTATCTAAAAAGGAATTGAAAAATCCTAAGAATTGGAGACAAGGAACTCACATTGTTGTTGTTATGCTACACAGTACTGTGTACAGATGCAAAACTGAATCGCAGGATTAGTTACAAATAGGAATATATACCAGGCATGGTGGCACATGTCTGTAATCCTAGCACTCAGAAGGCTGAGACAGGAGGATCACTGAATCTGAGGCCAGCCTGAGGTCAGTAGTGGGTTCAAGGCCAACCTGAAATGCATCGGGAAGCCCTGCCACCCCAAAAGAATTTATTACAGGGGTAAAGTGATTTCCACATGCATGGAAATATACATTTATAATGTGAACAGAAAACAGAAATCACTAAACCTTCATGAGAAATGAGTAGTGTAAGAAAAGCCTCAAATTGAGCAAATAAAACTAAGCAATAGAGCATTAACTCCAAACAATGGAGATAATGTAAGAAACAGAAGAAAATATTAAGATAAATATTAGTAACCTCAAATTTGGTAGGCTATCCTGCCTACTGAGCACTTGTAGGCTGCTGTGAACGAAAGCAACCAATTCTTGAATTTTAAAACATAGAAAATAGGAAGAAATAACCATTACTTGCAGAATAGATCCAGAAGAGCCAATGCACATCTGCTCGTAGACCCAGGAATGAATTAGAAGAGAAGAAATAACTACAGAGATAGGAATAACCAGGCCAAACTTTAGGTCACCTAAGCCAGACAGACCTGTGTGTCAGTTGGGGCACAAATTACTGGCAAATAGAGATCAGTCGTGCTCTCTGTGGCCTGTGGGGATGGTCAGGAAGGGTGTCTTTTCAGTAGTGGAAAGATGTGTCAGTTGTGCTAAAACTCCTGTTCCCAGCTCTCCTCTGTTATTAATTCACAGTACCTGCCAGATTTCCCATTTCTACTTCACAGTAGAATGGACAGTTAAGATACTGTATCAAGAAAATGACTTTTCTCTTAGCAAAATTCTGAGCCAATGAATAGGATAGATACACTGAGAATCTTAAAAGAATATTCACACATTTAGATACATTTCTGTAATGTTTCGTTTATTAACTTCAGGAGTACTAGAATTTGAGTCAGAAATGTTCTTTATAAGGCTTCTGTGTTCAAGAAGGGTTTTTTTTTTTAAATATATATACCATGGATCGAATTCATGACCTCAAGCTTGCCAGGCAAGTGCTTATGCCGCTGAGATAAATCCCCAGCTAAGAAGGGGCTTTTAGAAGGTGACTATATCGTTAGGGGTCTACACTCATGTCTGCATGGATCATTGATGAGTTGCGGAAAGTGCTGTTTGGCAGTGGGGCCAGGTTGGAGGGAATGGATCACAGTGGGCCATACCTGGAAGGCTGCATCCTGCTATGGTCCCTCCCTCTCTCTGGCTTTCTTCCTGCTGCCTGCTTCTTGACTGCAGATGAGCGGTTTTCTTCTGCAGAGTCTCCTTTGTTTCTGCCTTGGACTCAGCCACCCATGGGCTGAACTCTCTTAAACTGGGAGCCAGAATAATCCTTTCTCCTTCAAGTTGTATATGGTAGATATTTTGGTAGCAGCAGTGAAACACTGACTAATGGAGGGGTAAGTACATAATCTCATAAGCCTCGGAGAGGAATGAGTGTGTATTTATACAGCAGTGGAAGTCAGACTTAAATTCTAATTTAAAATGGAGTATTAGATCACAGTGGAGTCATATTTTTAAAGTGTCTATGGAACTTAACTTCAAAAATCAGAATCTTATCCCTAACCAAATTGTCATTCAAACTGAGGGGCAAAATGAGGCCATTGTCATCTGTACACACTAGAAACACCCTGTAATACACTCTAACAAAATAAAAAATTAAGGGAAGTATATGGAATTTAAAGAAAACAAGCATTTTCCAACTCCAAGTCATGGGTGACTGTAGCTAAGGGATTTAACGTAATGTTAAAGAAGAATCAATAAGCCAGAGTAGTAGAATTTTAAAGTCTTTAATATTCTAGAGCAAAAATGCAATGTGATTTGCAAGTCGGTTGGTGTAATAGCTTCCTGTGGGTGCATTACTGTGACAAAATATCTCAAGCAGTCATCTTGGAGGAGGAAAGGGCTACTGTGGCTTGTGGTTCTGCAGGTTTCAGGCCATGCCTGGCCAGCCTGCTGCATTTGGGTCTGCAGGGAGGCAGCGCAGCTTGGCACACTGCAGAGCAGGCTGCTCACTTGGTTAAGAGGGAACTGAGAGACAGGAGGGGCTGTACCCTGAAGGGTACACCTGGATGGAAATGATCCCACTTCCTCCTGCAGCCTCCACCACCAGGCTCCTGTTAGCACCACAGGCTGGGGACCATGCTTCGGCACATGAGCTGCTTGCGACACTGGTGATGTAGACGTTAGTGTTCGGGGAGGTGGGTAAAGTGTATTGGAAGTTTATCCTAAACAGAGGGAGCTCTGGGCAAGACCAAGTATGTGTTCAGTGCTCTCTTGAAGGCCATGTGCCCAGCAGTCCCGCTTCCTGGGGTTAGTAGCGAAGTCCCCGCTCAGTCAGAGCATGTTCCTAAGGCTGTGATGGTGAGTGTGCGGTAGTGCAGTGGATCTGGAGGGACACATGAAACTGGAGGGACCTGAGCCTGGGGAGTAGGAGGGAGGGGTCTCTGCAGCCTTAACTCCCGTTTTTCTTGTGTTTGTTTTATAAGGTTTTGGAAATACACATTTTATGCAGGCATGGTGGCACACTCCTGTAGGTGACACACGCCTGTGGTGTGTTGCAGAGGCTGAGGCAAGAAGGCCACTTGAGCCTGGGCTACTTAACTAGTCACTATCTCAAGAAAAAAAAATTCTTTTTAGAAGTATAAAAAGAAAAATTAAGAATTTAGACATGGGTTGTTGTATCTGGCTGGCCACCCATTTTACTATGACTTCTGACCATAGAGTGGTTTTTCCATCTTTAAAAACTTTTGGGCGGAAGGATGATAATATTTATGATACACCAAGATTGTATAAAGTTCAGATTGCAGCATCCTCTGGAATACACCCGTGCCTTCTAACTTTCTTGTTGCCTGTGGCTGCCTCTCTGCCACGTACAGAACCGACTGGCTGGGACACCATCTGGCCTATCATGTTTGCTGACCCCTGATACAAAGGTCAGAAATAGACCTCTCTCTGTGTAGGGATTTTGCTTATGATAAAGGTAGCATTTCAAATTATTGCCAGACAAGGACTGGGTCATGAGTGATAGGAGTTGACCATTTGAGTAAATAAAGAGTTATTTTATAGTAGCATTACTTCAGCTAGAGAGTGTAAAATTGAGAAGTCTGTAGGAACGGCTTGATAAGTGTGACTACTTAACACCAAATCGAAATTGTAAACTGGGATATGATTTTTGAGCACTTAGTGCTTGTCAGGTTTTATTTGATCCATTGTTACAGTAATACTCCAAGGTAGGTTCTGTGGTTAGCCCTAATAAAGATGAAGAGGTTGAAGCTTAGAGACGAGGGAGTTTACCTGCGGTGAAGAATTAGGGTTGGGTAGGGCAGGTGCTAGAATTAGACTGCTAGGTTCCGTGCCAGTTACACCAGGGAGACAACCTGAGTACAACCTTGCCCCTGTCGGAAGGGCCTGTGTCAGCAGCAAGGCCCGCCTGCTCCTCCTGCAGGTTCCATGGTGCAACCTTTTGTGTGTTACTCAGTCTCTCCCGTCAGCGGCACTAGATGCTTTGTTGTTGTGCTGTTAGATACACCGTCAGAGAACACACTTCTGACATTATATATTTGTATGGATATTTCTGTAGTAAAGAATATTAAAAAGTGAAGATGTGAATTGCCAGACTAAGGAATATATTCAAGTCAAATTTGTCTAAAAAATTTATGGGTTTGGTTTGTCTTTAATTAAAGGAATCATAGCATCTTGGAAGGAAAGTTAGTTATCCAGGCAAACTGCCTCATATGGGAAGCCTGGAGACCTTAAATCTTGTGCATGTAGTTACATGACTACTAAGTAGTTAACTTGACTATTAAGTTGTTTTTACTGTGCCACAGGCTGGCATATTTTGCTACTTTACTTAGAATGATATTGAGAATAGTCTTTTCTTTCATGTGTTTGTCCTTTTAAGTTTTGGTTTTGTTTTGTTTTGTTTTGTTTTTGAGACAGAATTTGACTGTGTAGCCCAGGCTGGCCTCAAACTTGTGGTAATCCTCCTGCCTCGACCTCCCAATTGCTGGGACTGCAGGTGTGTGCCTCCATGCCTGGCAAGACTATTATTTTCATTTGTTTAAAATCCAAGTATCATGAGTATAGTTTTCCTCAGAAACACCCTATTAGATGGTGGTGTGTCTGCTGTTTCTCTCTGGATACTTAGCACGGTGCCTGACCTGCCATGGGTACGCAAGTGTTTGTTGAATAGCTGC